GTTTATTAATCACCTCAGTTTGCCCATCAGTCTGAGGGTGGTATGCTGAGCTGAATTTTAACTGGCTCCCTTGTAGTTTGAACAGTTCCTTCCAAAACAAACTGGTGAATAAAGGGTCCTTGTCACTGATTATGGACTTAGGCATACCATGGAGTTTGAATATTCCTTCAAAAAATACACTTGCCACAGATTGAGCAGTATAAGGGTGAGTTAATGCAAAGAAATGAGCATACTTAGAAAGCCTATCAACCACTACCAATATGACTGAGTATGTTCCACTGTTTGGCAAATTAGTGATAAAATCCATGGATATCTCTTCCCATACATAGTCTGGAGTTGGTAAGGGTTGTAGAAGTCCTGGATATGCCACATTCTCTCCCTTGGCTCTTTGGCAAACATCACAAGTCTGGACATATTGTTGGACATCTTTCTTCATCCCTTTCCAAATAAAAACCCTCCTCAACCTGTGCAAAGTTCTGGTAATTCCAGAATGTCCTGCAGTAGGACTATCATGGTGCTCTTGAAGTAGGGAAGCTTTCAAATTATGAGCAGTAGGACTAACCAGAATCTTACCCTTATAGTAATAGATCCCCTCCTTCTTAAAATACTCCTCAGAAACAGCTTGATCTTGTTGCAGTTTTTCTTCTAATTCTCTGAAGAAAGGATCAGTAGCACACATTTGCTTAATATCCTCTAACCAACTACTGTTAACAGTTGATATTGCTGAGATTTCCACATTATCTTTATTGTCCTCATACACCCTAGATAACCCATCTGCAACCTTGTTTAGCCTGCCAGGTTTATATTCTACAATATAATCATACCCATGCAATTTGGCTAGCCATTTGTTTTGAATACCTGTATGTATCCTTTGCTCAAGAAGAAATTTAAGGCTCTGGTGATCAGTTCTGATCACAAAACTCCTTCCTAACAAGTATTGTTGCCACCTTTTTGTAGATAGAATTAGAGCTAATAACTCTTTCTCATAGGTTGACAGTAGAGCATTCTTCCCCTTCAATGCAAAACTGAAATAAGCAATAGGTCTCTCTCTTTGCATTAACACAGCTCCCACTCCTGTACCAAAGGCATCACATTCAATCACAAAAGCCATATTGAAATCAGGCATAGCTAGGACTGGTGAATTGGTTAGGGCAATTTTAAGAGAATTGAAGGCCTCTTCAGCACATGCATTCCAGGAGAAATTGCCCTTCTTCAATAGCTGAGTTAATGGTTGTGCTATGATTCCAAATCCCTTAATGAATTTTCTATAATACCTAGCTAAACCCAAAAATCCTCTCAATCCTTTAAGTGTTTGAGGTAGTGGCCAACTCATAATAGCCTGAATCTTATTTGGATCCACACTAACCCCTGTTTGTGACACAATATGCCCCAGGTATTCAACTTGTTTCTGTCCAAAGCTGCACTTTGATAACTTTGCAACTAACTGGTGACTCTTCAGGATCTGAAACACTTGCTTCAAATGGTTGAGATGTTCCTGCCAACCCTTACTGTACACCAATATATCATCAAAGAATACCAACACAGATTTCCTGAGGAAGCTTTTGAAGATAGAATTCATTAAAGCCTGAAATGTAGATGGAGCATTAGTGAGGCCGAAGGGCATGACTAAAAACTCAAAATGCCCACTATGTGTCCTGAATGCAGTTTTGGGAATGTCAGATGCACTCATCCTTATTTGATGATATCCTGATTTCAAATCTAATTTAGTAAAAAACTGAGTTCCATGTAACTCATCCAACAACTCATCAATGAGTGGAATAGGGAATTTGTCTTTGATTGTAGCCTTGTTGAGTGCTCTATAATCTATACACATTCTCCAACTCCTATCAGACTTCTTAACCATCACTACTGGTGAAGAGAAAGGACTGTGGCTGGGTCTGATAATTCCTCTTTGCAACATTTCCTCAATTTGTTTTTCAATTTCTTCCTTCAGGAAGTGTGCATGCCTATAAGGCCTGATACATACTGGTTTAGTTCCAGTTTCTAGGGGTATTTTATGGTCTATATCCCTGTGAGGAGGAAGTTGAGAGAGTTCCTGGAATACCACCTGAAACTCCTGTATCAAGCTGTGCATGTCTGCAGGAAGGTCTTCAACATTGGCTCCTGTGGTGGATTCTTGTAAGTTCACACTACATAATTGAATCAAATACCCTTCATCTTGTTCCCTGAAATTTTTACCAATGGCCTTCTCATTAACCAACTGCATCTCCTCTGGAATTACTCCTTGCAGAGTTCTCTTCACCCCTTCACTCATAAATGTCACCTGCAGTTTTTTGAAATTCAGAGTGATATCTTCAAGTGTTTTTATCCAATCTGCTCCCAAAACAATCTGGCTCCCACCCATAGGCATAACTAACATGTTGACTTGAATTTTTACCCCCTGACAGTCCAACAGCACTTCTGGACACACCCCAGTCCCTTTGATCAACTCTCCACTAGCCACTAACACATTGAAATTGTTAGAGTCTGTCACCTTTAAGCCTAATCTCTTGACCAACTTAGCATTGATGAAATTGTGAGTGGAACCAGAATCTATTAGAATGCTGATTGCTTGATTCTTGTAATAACCTACCACCCTGATAGTATGAGAAGCAGTGATTCCATTCAAGGCTTGCACTGAGATAGAAGGAGCTCCCCTAACCAAGCTTTCAGCTAATTCTATGGAAGAAGAGTTCTCTACCTCATCACCATGGTCATTGTCCTCCCCTTCCATGCCTCCTTCAAGAATCCCTTCCAGAATGAATAGGTGTTTTCCTTTGCATTGGTGCCCTCTAGACCATTTCTCCTCACAGGTAAAGCACAAATTCTGACTTCTCCTTCTTAGTATCTCTTCAGGAGTCATCTTCTTGAATTGGGAAGGGGCACGGAAGTTGTCTCTTAAAGGAAGATTGGGAGAGGAACCTACTGAAGGGCCCCCTGGGCTAGGAACACTCCAATTTCCCCTAGGCTTCCTTTCATTTTTTTGCTTGTCTTCAAACAATTTAGCCAATGATATTGCTCCCCTTAATGAGGTTGGCCTAGCTGCTGCCACTTCATACCTCAACTCATCTTTAAGCCCACCTATGAATCTTTCAAGGATATGCCTTCTAGAGGGCTGTTCATCTAACGGGCCTAATGTTTGTTCAAACCTTCCCAAGTATTCCCTAACGGTGGAGGTCTGTTTCATGGTGGAAAAGGCATCATATGGCCTTGAAAGCTCACTGGGACCAAATCTACAGATTAATTCTTCTCTGAAAACCTCCCAGAGGTTGTAATCATCTGTATGTCTTGTAAGCCATCTAAACCATTGTAAAGCTTCCTCTCTCAGATAGAAGGAACAAACTTTGACCCACTCATTACTATTAATGTCATAATAATCAAAGATTTGTTCAGTTTGTTCAAGCCAGGCTATCACATTCTCAAGTCCAGAAAAAGAAGGGAAATCTAGACGCAAAGATTTTGGTTGAACAAGCTTTTGGTTACTGAAGAAAGAATTTCTTTGGTTTGAGAAATTACCAAAACTGTGAACAGGCTGAAATTCTTCAGAAAAATCAACATTCCTTGGAGTTTGGAAGGTGTGGGTATGTTCAGAATCTTTTTTGCTTGAATCTTTAGATCCTAATCTATAAATTTCTCTGTCTTCTTTTGATCCTGAGCTCCAGGCTTGATGATCCTCTCTTGGTCCAGCTCCCAGAATTCCTTGAGCAGAACCCTTGGAGTTCTTGAATTCTTGAACCAATAACTTCATTTGAGAAGCTAGATCATCTAATTTTGTTGAATTCTCCTTCAATCTGGATGAGTTTTCTTGATTGATTGACTCCTGCTGCTTCATGAATGACTTTTGTTGTAGAATTGCATCCTCCACTCTATTGAACCTTTCCTCTTGAGTCATTTCTTCAGCAGAGGTCTCCTCATGATCGCCTGAAGATTCTTCAACAACTGCTTCAGCTTCTAGGTGCTCTGATACCAATTGTGAGGCTCGGAAGCCTCGATTTCCCCTCATGGAACTGTTCCTCGCCATTGTTGAAACCTGCACTCTCGCAGAGTAATACAGAGAAAGACAACTTGAGATAGTTGAGAAGGAAAAGAGATAGAAAAAGTGAGATGAACTAAGACAGAAAATTGAAGAGAAGAAGAGATTATTACTCAATCATTCATGCCAGGCTTTTGGGGTTACAATCTCTCCTTTATACAACTCTTTCAAAACAAAACAAGAAAACGTGCACAAAACGTGCACAGACTGTAACAGTCTTAACAGACATAACAGAAACAGTTAGACTGTTTCTAACTAACTCCTAAGCATTTATTACAGCTCAAGGTGGTAAATGAAATCCTCTTTAAGTCTTGTAGAACCCTTCAAAGCTCTCGTATTCATCCCAGTGATGTTTCCTTCATTCACTTGCATTTGACAACACTTGACAGGTTGCCAGTTCCTTGGCAGCTCCTCCCGTACCTGACAGATCCCTTGCTCAACCTCCGAGATTCGTCATCCTCTGTGGTACTCGTCCCCGCACAGCTCCACGAGCGCCTCCCTTGCAGGGGGGTATTTGGAATCCTGGGTAACTGTACAGAGGCGCCAAGGGTTTTTGGAGGTCATGCTGCTCGTGGTGGGTAAAACGATCGTCGTCGAAGTTGATGAGTGCGGCTCGGTCGGCGGTTCTGATAGGGGTTAGGGTTCGAAGAAGAAGGAGTCTAGGGTTAGCAGCGGCTCGAAGGAAGAAATGGATGGGAACAGTGGCGGCGTCTCTGATACCATGTAAGTTTTCTATGATTTCTTCTCTTGTTCTCATTGATAGAATTGTTGGCTTATATAGCCTTACACACACGTTTACACAAAGGCCCTCTAAGACCCGTTAATTGCATTACATTCTCAACACTCCTCCTCAAGATGGGCGAAAGATATCAATTAAGCCCATCTTGTCACATCCTCTAGCTAGATCTACTGAGCTAAGCCCTTTAGTCAAGCAGTCTGCAGCCTGCTCCTTAGCGGCGGCGGCTCTGATACCATGTTAAGTGAATTGGGTTTTCTAGGGTTTCTTCTCATATTCTCATTGATAGAATTGTTGGCTTATATAGCCTTACACACACGTTTACACAAAGGCCCTCTAAGACCCGTTAATTGCATTACATTCTCAACAGTTGCTAACAAGGTGGCGTTTGGAATTGACATACGGAGGCCATGCCACCTTCCCCTTCTCAATATCGGGATGTAGCTTATTGGCTTTTATTCGGGCCGTGGCTTTTACAGGTATGCTGTGATTGCTCTGTAGGAAACAAATAAATACAAATATTTAGCAGTATATGTTTTACATGAATACGCAACAATAATCAGTTATTTTGCTCTCAAGCAGTGTGATTTATCACTGAGTTCCTTAATGAAGTAGTAAGTAGCTGATTTTAGCAACAGTATTTGGTTCACTGACTTCAGGCAATTAAAATTGAAAGTTAACTGAATTGGTTGAATACACCTGTAAGTAAATGTTTATGTTTACTTAATGCAGGTGTCTTTTAATGGCCAGGATGTAGCTGTACGTATTAATAGCAAGTCAACTGACACTAATGAAAATTTCACCAGTTTCTTCTTTAGGCTCCAAGAATATTTCCCTTGAAAGTTGAGATGTGTTACCATGTTTTCGATTTTAGTATCCTATGGTTAGTACATGAGATCAATCTACTTCCCTTAATCTGCATGCAGAACTAGTACCACTGTATATAATTATGTATGTACAATTGTTTGCGGCTAAATTTCGGGAGTTACAGGTTAAAACTGTGTTAGGAGCAAGAATTATTATGATCCTCCTACATCCAACTTTGCTCAACTCTTGAAGAGTTGGCGCATATATGTTTGACAACCATTATGACTTTGAGAAACCTAATGAAAATCCACAGGCCCATGTGTCCCTCACCATTGCAGTTAATATTCTGCCATCATCATTGCTTCTTTAATTATTAGGTATGTCAGATTAAGAAATGTCAATTACTGATCTGATCAAGGTACACATTTCAGGTTGAATCATCTGAACCACATCGAACACCCTTATTAAAAAGGGGTGAAAAAAGGACAATCAAAACGCAAATCAACTAGAACGCGAACCATGGATGCAAAATGCAAGAGAGTCAACATCAAAAAGATAAGAATCAATAGAAAAAAAGATATCCCAAGCAGGCTTTGATATATAACTTAAATAGACCATTAAAATAACAAAAATCAAAAGACAAACACAAGAATACAACTGTGCTAATACATAACAATTCTTTCTTCATGTTGACTTGAAAGAATAGTTAAACCAATTGATAATCAAGACCATACCCTAACATGACTCAGAACAGCATGTTTTTCTTCCAGAACCATAGTGCAGTCATTTTGAATGACACATCACTTTACCCATTCTTTGAATATGGAAACTTCCTCTCCATATGCAAAAAACGAATGTAATTTTCTCCAAAGTATATCACCGTGCTAGAGTCACGATACGGTCAGACACCGCTCAGAGAAAGTCTAGCGATTAAGCTCTTCTGCTAGTATTCGAAGAACTGTCACATGACTTAAATTATGAGATAAAAAGACCACAGCTAAACATTTCCATATCCAAATGCAATCAAGGTGTACAAAAGTAGTTAAAATTTTAAACGTCGAAACCAGAGCACAATATGTACAACAGCAGTCCTTATAGAAAATTGAATGTTTTTACCACACAAGTTTCCCATAGAAAGATTTATATACCTGATGGTCTATCACCTCGATCCTGCATGCCTTTAGCTGCGCGATTAAGTTGAATACCAAAAGGATGCTTAGGGAGACAAGCTGCTGCAGATGTAGACACATCACCTGCAACTAGACGTAACGATTGATTACACAAGGTCCATGTGAATAAAATAGTACATAACCAATATGACATCTTAATAAACTAAAACATACTAACTTACCGAATGATCTGAAGGTATGGAGCGTGTAGTGGGGGTCTATAAATTGGTTGCCTCTTCCGAATCCGCATGCAAATCTGATAGGAAATAAAGTCAAAATTTTCGAATCGTTAGTTATAAACTACACTTCTGAGTTCAAGCTAGCTGTCATGATGACAACAACAATTGCATTATCTCGCACTATAATCAAGAAGACATTATAGAGGGATTATTGTGGTTTGACAATTATAAGGTGGACAGCTCACAATTTCCATATACAACACAGAATTAGATGTCCAGCAGAGTAAAACAGGAGTTTCAGACACGAAATTGCTTAACAATGAGTTTAAAACAGAAAGAGAACATAGGGGTTTGATGAGTGAATTTGTCATAGCAAGGATTAAGCATATCATGAATAATATTATGAGATACACACATTTTTAAAGGGAAGGAAGGGACTGAAGCAATTATAGTTGCAATACAGTACTACTGTTTCACAGTTAAGAGTAATTTCTTTGTTAAACTATAAGGTTTCATCTCAACTTGTGCTAGTTGATGTAGTAAGACAAGGAGAAATTTATATAACAGTTTATAATAGTTACAGTGTGACAAAGAGTATATATTCGTTTGAAATGAAATTCATTAATGATTAGGTTTCCAGTTTTGACATAAAGATAGAAAAAAATGATCACAAGTTTGGCAAGACCTTGCAAGGTGGAAAATACACCAAGAATCCTCAAGTAGTAGATAGATGAAAGAGAAAGTAGAACATATTAAATAAAATTTCCAATAAAATCAAATAGCTAGTAACCCATAGCCAGAGTAATCTCCCCAATGCTGGGGATGGATAGAGAAGCCCGAGTAGCTCTGAGGCTTCTCTTACACACTCTCTTGCCTCACGCTCTCATTCATTGAGCACTATATGTTTGCAAGATTTGGCTTACGATTGATGTTGTCACGCCCCGAAACTGTACTCATAAAATACGGGGTGCGCGACAGCAACGACCCGTGCATGAGACAAGTCTTATGCATGGGTCAAGCCTGGCACTTCATATCACAAAGTTTATCTCAAATGTTCATAAACCTACTGATGATAAAAGTCAGAGCAAATATATATATGTATATAATCAGTATTTACAGTCCATAAGCTCACTGTTATAAGCATTTCACAAAATAAAGCACAATCTTCATTGTATGTAATATTCAAAAAGAAGGCTTTTCCTGTAACGCCTCTCAGCAAAACGCCACAACCAAAAGCTTGGATAATATGAAGCTACACCGGATCTGAAAAAAAATTTAAAAAACAACAGGGTGAGCTAGAGCTCAGTGAGAACATTTCCCACTAGAGTTCCTAGATAACTAATAAAATAGTAATAATAATAATTTCCAGAAATAATGAATTATAAGTTTTGCATGAGAAATTCAAAGATAGCAAAATACGATCTAAATATCATAATATTGTCGTTTTCAAGAAGGAATGCAACAATTACATTTTCTTTCTTATGTGCAACTGAATATACTGTGAAGTTTCTTGGAATCAAACCCTTTTTGGATCAAGGTAAACATTAAGAAAGAAAAGAAATTACTAAATTGGATACAAAACCAGAGGGCTATTATTTTCTCAATTTTGCAGTCAATTGTCAAAATCTCAAACCTCGATGAGTCGTGTTCTTCGAATTCACATTCCAATCTTAAAATCACAAATTTATTACTGTCAAGCGATATGGACTCAAGAGGTGGCTCCTACGGCCTCTAGAGGTAGCTCCCACCGCGTCTATACGGTGTAGCACTTAGCCCTATATGGCACTTAGCTTCACATTTCCAGCTAGTAATTCATGAAACACAATAATCACCTCATGTCACACTAAGGCTACGAATTATAGCCCAGTAGCATGGGAATGCGTAAAACGCATCAGATAACAGATAATTCTCAAGAATCGAATGCACCTAACACTGCCATAGGTTACTGACCAAAACAGAAGGGCCATAATAAATTTCAGAATGACCAATACAGAAGGGCCAAATAAAGGTGCATTCACCATATGGCAGGCAGAAACAATCCATAGTGAACTATTTGAGGGTTTAAAAACATTGAGATCATATGTCAAATGAGTAATACTTTGCATATCAGAATTTTTAGATATTTTCAATGAAGTTAACAAGGTAAAGCTCCTCATTTTAGTTAAAATAGTTTACAGATATTTTTTTATCAGATACTAAGTCACGGAAAATCTTTGAATCCGTTAAACTATTGAAATGCATTCCAAATACTTTATCAAAAACTTTCAGATAAAATAATGCCCACAATTATTTGAAAATTACATGAGAGTCAAATTCATCTTTTTTATATTTTATATAAAAATCAAATTTTCTTTTCATATATTGTACGAGGCTAACATCGTATTATAGGATAGACCACAACAGAAATATGTCAAATCTTTATATACATGAAAATGACATTTTTCGATCACCAGATAAATCAAATATAATACTCATGTAATTTTATATTATAAAATACTAGTGAGAAATGAACTCACCTCAAGTGGACACGACTTTTCCCAAAATATTACTCCTCTGTATATCAACCAGATCCTATAATATAAGATATAAGCCTAATATTAATTCAGAACAAACATATATTATATGATAATCACTACAAATTTTTTGAAATAATCAGATCAAATAATATGAACAGGTTTCATATAAGCTTCTTTTCTAATTTTAGCAATTTACTGAGCTTAATTCCTAATTAAGTTTGAATTTTCTGGGTCTGATTGTAATTTACTGAGAAACAGGGTCCTCACGAATATTTTCATTCCTCTTTATCTTTTGGACCTATATACAAACAAAAAATCTTCCAGGGGTCCCAAAAAAATTGGTTATTTAATTAAAATTTCCCTTTTCTCTCTCCTCTATCTCTTATTCTTCTTCTCGTTTCCTCTTCTCATTTTCATTCATTTTTCCCCGTTTGTTTCTCCCTCCCTCTCTCTCTCTCTCTCTCTCTCTCTCTCTCTCTCTCTCTTCTGCGGACAATCGACGCGATCGATTCCTGCGCCGTCGTCAGAGCGGCGACCCGAGGACGAGCCCTCCCCGACGCAGGCAGTCACGTATGTTTTCTCTTCTTTTTTTTTTAATTTCTCAAGATATTATGTATTAGTTCTTAAATCAAAGAAAAATAAGGAAGCATAGAGTTTATACCTTAGATTTCTCCCCTTTCTTTCACTGTCTTCCTTCCTCTTCACTTCTTCTATTTTTATTTTTAACCCTAATTTCTCCTCTTTTCCTCTCCTTAAATACTGTTGGGAGGCGGTGATGTGAGGCGGTGAAAAAAATCACTGACTTACAATTTATTTATCATCATTATTATTATTATATATTTTCTTTTTTTTATCTGGGGCTATTACACTCTCCCCACCTAATAAAAAGTTTCGTCCTCGAAACTTAACATACATATATTTTCAAAAGCCTTCCTAATATTTCTCTTAAACAGGATCTCCCATTCCTCAGATAGCAATTTTCTCAAAGTAGTTTCTCTATTGAACTTTCTCACATTTGATGACTCATCGCTGAAGTACTTGCTATTTATGATTCACAATATGCTCTGGTGTTTCTTCATATGCTTGTGGCTTCACTGGTAATAATATTTTTCAACGTAATCTAGATCTCATATAAATCTTAGAATTGATATATCTATTATATAACATACTCCCATTAAAGGTGATTGTACTGCTAACTGGTCTAGTACTTAATCAATTTATTTTGATATTTCAAGAGTTAATATGTCTTGGGCCTAGTATCCCCTTGAAATCCTAGCTCACTTTTTCTTCAACAAGTCTTAACTCTTTCATCAACCAAACAAAGAGCGAATCTTCTAGTAGAACGATAAAGCTTGACACGCTACCTCAACACCAAGGAGCTTCTCTCATCATCAAAATCCAGATAAATAAGAGGTCTCTACTTTTTACCATATAAAAGGCCACGAGGTGCCATCTTTATGCTTGACTTCATGCTCATTATTTTATACAAACTCAGTAAAGGTAGAGAGGTGCCATCTTTATGCTTGACTTCATGCTCATTATTTTATACAAACTCAGTAAAGGTAGATAGTTTTCCCCCAGTTCTTCCATTTCTTGACTTCATGCTCATTATTTTATACAAACTCAGTAAAGGTAGATAGTTTTCCCCCAGTTCTTCCATTTAAAAAACACAGTACCTTAACATATCTTTCAGAATTTGCTTGTCTTTAATCACATGTATATGGATGATAATTGCGCTGATATTAAATGCAATGTACAAATTTCTATGAATACTCTTCCAATATTTTGTAAGAACTTGAGCTCATAAATTGCTACTATTGAAACAAGTATGTCATGAAATCTCAACATCTTGTGAATGTAAAATGCATGGTCAACCTTTCCAATGATTTTTTTACATGGGAAGGAAAAAATATACTAGCTTAGTATCCAGTTGAGTATTATCTAGATAATATTATTCTTTCTCAAAGGTTTTATCAGGACGTTAATGACGAGGTCTATGGTGATTTTCTTTCTTCCCACATTGATATATCTAATTTAGGATCAATCTACAGCTTATCTCTAATGCTTCTACTTTTATCTTTTAGCATGCCAAACACACAACCACATATTTTGCAATACTCATTTCACATTAGTCCACTGATTTATTAATTTATTTATATCCATGTATACATAGTAATGTGCATCATTCAAAAAAAAATTTTCCCCCGACCTTTCATATACAAAACCCTATATAAAAGATTAATGATCTATCTTGTACATCTTATCCCTATACTGAATGTACTCATCCACATCCTTATCTTTCAAATGAAAATTATTTTGCTAGTTATCTTTTTAACTCCTTTAATAGCAAAATATATTAAAATTACGGTCAATTCGGTTTTAACTGAGTAGACTTAAATCCTGATTATGCATGGTTTAATTTCTCCAACTTATCCTTTGAGGTATAATTAAATGTGACACATGAGTCTTCATGAACCATTCTTTTTACTAAGATAACACTACTAACCTTCAAAGTTCTAATTGTTATTCCACTAATAGATTTCCTTTAGGTCTTTATACATCTTTGTTAATCCAGGATGCACAGTCTACAGAGAGTGGTGTGCCTCTTTTAGAATTTTCTTATTTATCTCTGTTATATCGGGCATACAAATTCTATTTTCAAACCTCAATGACCAATCCTCATGTATTTTAAATTCTCTTCGAGTGTCTTCTTCCACACCTTTCTTTATTTCTGTTAGTTGAGGATCCTTCTGCTAGTTTGCTTTAATTCCATCTATCAAGGAAGATTGTATCATCATATCTGCTAGTTTAACTCTAATTTGGTGAATTCTAATTTCAATTCCAGTACGATCTAACTCCTCCAATAACTATCTTTGAGAAGTAGTTAATTTGGTGAATTCTAATTTCAATTCCAGTACGATCTAACTCCTCCAATAACTATCTTTGAGAAGTAGTTAAATATGCTAGATTACATGAATTCCAGTACGATCTAACTCCTCCAATAACTATCTTTGAGAAGTAGTTAAATATGCTAGATTACATGTATTCTTGCGGCTCAAAGCGTCAGTAACAACATTTGCCTTGTTGAGGTGATAATTAATGGTAATGTCATAATCTTTTAGAAGCTCCAACCATTTCTTTGCAGCAAATTTAACTCCTTTTGAGTGAATATATATTTCAAACTCTTATGTGGTCAGTGTATATTTCACAATGTACACCATATAAATAATGTCTTCAAATCTTGGGAGCAAACACTACTGCCGCTAATTCCAGGTCATGAGTGGGATAGTTTTGCTCATAAGGTTTTAACTACTTTGAAGCATATGCTATGACTTTTCCATTTTGCATAAGAACACATACAAGTCCTCTTCTAGAGGCATCACTGTAGATAGTAAAGTCTGTATCTCCAAAGGATAATGCAAGCACTGGAGCAGACACTAATCTACTTCTTTAACTCTTGAAAGTTTTTTCTCACATCTGACCAGATGAATTTAACTCCTTTCTGGGTAAGACGAGTCAAAGGTGAGGCAAGACACTATAACGCTAAAACATGAGATACCTAATTTTATAATTGAACATCATTCATTCTTTCACTTGTACCAATAAATAAATATTTACATATTCTGTCAGTAAATTCTTATTAAGCGAACATATAAATACCAGATTGGTGACTACTGTTATTGGAAAAACTTTGGCAAGGATGAGTATGCTTTCTATCTACCTCTCAAGTTCCGACAGTAGGCAGAAATAATATGCTCCCACACTTTATATGATCATCTCTAACTATTCTTCTGTTTGCGAGTATAAAAACTCAATTTCAATTTTGTTCTAAAGCATTATTCAAGTTTTCCCACATTTGGAATGAAACCTAAATTCTCTGTTAGATATTATAGCCCCTAGTATTCAACACAACTCACACATCTTTAATATATATGATCATTACTATTATGACTCCTAAAGCCAGTCAGAAAAATGCATAGCTATCTATTCTCATTGCCATAAAAATATAAAGAGGTTAAAAAAATCTACAATCTTATAATGCTCAACCTTCACAAGCTCAAACATCAAGCATAGAGACATAATCTAGAATCTATATTTCCTGTGAGTTAACCGGAATACTGCTCACAAGTCTCTGTATATCATTGTACTGCCTGAATAAAAATGTATCAATAAGAGATTGACTTCTAAATTTCTATCCTTAGCTTAGGATCATTTCGGGCACATAGGCTATTTTTTTTATAAAATCTCCACTGTTAAGTCATTAGCACAAACCTTTTCTTACCTTCGGTTAATTATTTTTTTTCCACTGTCAAAATATCACAACAATATACTATCACAATCCTTTCAATCAAGATAATTTGAATTCTAAAATAAGTAAACATCATTGCAGAGTCATAAATCTATCACAATCCTTTCAATCAAGATAATTTGAATTCTAAAATAAGTAAACATCATTGCAGAGTCATAAATCTGAATATCAAATCTAATTTGAATTCTAAAATAAGTAAACATCATTGCAGAGTCATAAATCTGAATATCAAATCTAGCCTATTCCATATATCTTTTTATTTGGTGATTGAAATTAAATACTAGTATTTCACTTTGCACTCAAGAAATCTACCTTTACATTCCTCTGACTAAGGTGATAATGAAAACTGAAGTCATAAACCTTTATTGATTTGGACCATTTGCTTCTCATACAATGTCTCTTTCATGTTAATTATAATTCTTGAGATACTAATAATCGGTGTAAATACCATCTATTCCGCAACTCATATGACTTAAATCTTCCAAAATTCATATTTATTCCCATTTTGCAAAGGATGATTCAAAGATAGTATATGAAAATTATTGTATACTAATTAAATCCATTGATCATGAAATAAGTGCATAAAAAAATCAGTCCTTTCACAAAAAAACCCTTTTTTGCACTTCTCATTCAGGATAAATCACCTATTCAATGCTATTATCAAAGTCATCACTTCATAAGTTTTTACTATGTGTTACACGATGACTGAGGGAAAATAATATAGTATACCTTAATACATTTTCAGCATCAACACCGTAAACTTAGGTGAGCTAGCATCATAATTCTTATACTAAAATAATATAGTGAATACAAAAGCAAGAAATACTCTTCAACAACTTCACATTTCATCAATTGTATGAATAATTTGTCATATATCAAACATTGCAAAAACATTTTTGAGTGTCCTTCAACTCATGGTATTCTATCTTGCACTTGTTAAAATACTAAAAATAAATCAGACATTCAACATAGGTCCAGAGACGTCGAAAGGTATTAATATATTAACAAACAAAAAGAAACAATTTTTAATCAAAATTCAAAACGTAATAACTTTATCTAAAATTTTAGCTCTATCATAACGTCACAAAAATAATCCTTAGATATTCTTTTGCCTATGCCGACTCTTGAATAAAATATTCCTAATCATCAAAGAGGCCACTACAAATGGATCCAATTATGATTAGACTATCTCATTCACCAAACAAAATTTTTGAAATGGTGTCATCAAGGAATAATATAATAATTCATAATAACAATCATCAGTAACATTAATCTTTGAAATACATAAGTTATGTACATAGGCAAATATTTAGGTAATAACCACATATTTTTATCCTGTATTATGCTACACAAGCTATATATGTAAGTCCTTGAAAAGCCAAATAAAAACTAATAGCATTCATAGTCTTCCACATTTATAAAATCTATACTTCCATGTTTCTAACTAGAATCCATATATAGAATCTTCTATAATCATTAACCAACTAAGCTGTCATACTATCTACTATAACCTCTCAAAATAAACTATCAAATCCTTTTCTATAAATCTCAAATGATAATCTCTCACATCAAGTGCCATCACAACCTAACATCACCAAAATAAATACATTTAGCATGAAAGTTTAATCATAATGATCATCTATAACCAATCCCTTGAATTTTCCTTATCATAATAGCATATATCATCAAATAATATTTTCATGAGTCACATATGTCAAACATGCCTCCAATTAAGCTGAACTAATTCCTTTATATCCAGGGAAACTAAACAAGGAATTATGTAATCCATGAATCTAAAATCATATATCTATATAACTAAAGTTGATCCAAGAAACTGTACTCATAAAATACGGGGTGCGCGACAGTAGCAACCCGTGCACGAGACAAGTCTTATGCACGGGTCAAGCCTGGCACTTTATATCACATAGTTTATCTCAAATGTTCATAAACCTACTGATGATAGAAGTCAGAGCAAATATATATATGTATATAATCAGTACTTACAGCCCATAAGCTCACTGTTATAAGCATTTCACAAAATAAAGCACATTCTTCATTGTATGTAACATTCAAAAAGAAGGCTTTTCCTGTAACGCCTCTCAGCAAAACGCCACAACCAAAAACTTGGATAATATGAAGCTACACCGGATCTGGATTTTTTTTAAAAAAATGACGAGGTGAGCTAGAGCTCAGTGAGAACATTTCCCACTAGAGTTCCTAGATAACTAACAAAATAGTAATAAGAATAATTTCCAGAAATAACGAATTATAAGTTTTGCATGAGAAATTCAAAGATAGCAAAATACGATCCAAATATCATAATATTGTCATCTTCAAGAAGGAATGCAACAATTATATTTTCTTTCTTATGTGCAACTGAATATACTGTGAAGTTTCTTGGAATCAAACCCTTTTTGAATAAAGGTAAACATTAAGAAAGAAAAGAAATTACTAAATTGAGTACAAAACCATAGGGCTATTATTTTCTCAATTTCGCAGTCAATTGTCAAAATCTTAAACCTCGATGAGTCATGTTCTTCGAATTCACACTCAAATCTTAAAATCATAAATCTATTACTGTCAAGCGATATGGACTCTAGAGGTGGCTCCTACGGGCTCTAGAGGTAGCTCCTACCACGTCTATACGGTATAGCACTTAGCTCCATATTTCCAGCTAGTAATTCATGAAACACAATAATCACCTCATGTCACACTAAGGCTACGAATTATAGCCCAGTAGCATGGGAATACGTAAAACGCATCAGATAACAGATAATTCTCGGGAATCGAATGCACCTAACACTGCCATAGGTTGCTAGCCAAAACAAAGGGGCCATAATAAATTTCAGAAGGGCCAATACAGAAGGGCCAAATAAAGGTGCATTCACCATATGGCAGGCAGAAACAATCCATAGTGGACTATTTGAGGGTTTGAAAACATCGAGATCATATGTCAAATGAGTAATACTTTACATATCAGAATTTTTAGATATTTTCAATGAAGTTAACAAGGTAAAGCTCCTCATTTCAGTTAAAACAGTTTATGGATATTTTTTTTATCAGATACTAAGTCTCGGAAAATCTTTGAATCCGTTAAACTGTTGAAATACATTCCAAATACTTCATCAAAAACTTTTAGATAAAATAATACCCACAATTATTTAAAAATTACATGAGAGTCAAATTCATTTTTTTTATATTTTATATAAAAATCAAATTTGCTTTTTCATATATTGTATGAGGCTAACATCGTATTATAGGATAGACCACAACAGAAATATGTCAAATCTTTATATACATGAAAATGATATTTTTTTGATCACCAGATAAATCAAATATAATACTCATGCAATTTCATATTATAAAATACTAGTGAGAAATGAACTCACCTCAAGTGGACATGACTTTTCCCAAAATATTACTCCTCTGTATATCAACCAGATCCTATAATATAAGATATAAGACTAATATTAATTCAAAACAAACAAATATTATATGATAATCACTGCAAATTTTAGAAATAATCAGATCAAATAATATGAATAGGTTTCATATAAGATTCTTTTCTAATTTTAGCAATTTACTGAGCTTAATTCCTAATTAAGTTTGAATTTTCTGGGTCTGATTGTAATATACTAAAAAACAGGGTCCTCACGAATATTTTCATTCCTCTTTATCTTTTGGACCTATATACAAACAAAAAATCTTCCAGGGGTCCCAAAAAATTGGTTATTTAATTAAAAATTCCCTTTTCTCTCTCCTCTATCTCTTCTTCTTCTTCCCGTTTCCTCTTCTCATTTTCATTCATTTTTTCCCCATTTGTTTCTCCCTCCCTCCCTCCCTCCCTCCCTCTCCCTCTCTCTCTCTCTCTCTCTCTCTCTCTCTCTCTCTCTCTCTCTCTCTCT